ATAAGTTTGTTCTGAAACAAATCTTAATCTAAATCTCGCTCACCACTAGGAGATGCGAAATATTTCCTCTTTACAAAATAAAAATGTTAGGAAGGATGATTTTTCAAATTCTTTACAACATTGAAAAAAAAGTACCAAATCCTATAATATAATAATGATATTAGCCCTACTTTGGAGTCATTCATTGCCGGATCGCTCGATAACAAAGTTATTTCCTTTGAATCAATTTGCCTTTTATGAGCTCTTTCGTAAAACTATAGATGAAATAAATACGTTGTTGACGGAAAGTAATTGTAAAAACATGTCGTTATATGGTCATGCAGTGGGCTGCTTTATCTTTATCTAAACATAAACATCGCGAAATAGTGTTTTTAAAGTCGGCTGCACGCTAAACAAAGCTTCATTCACTGAGAGAAAGAACAANTCTCTTGAAACATTCGCTTGCACGTTAAATTCACCAGAAAACTGAGTGTTTTAAAAACATTTGGGGTTGATTCGTGTTTATTCTGTATTAGGAAAAGGTAACTCTACTTACTTGATCTGAGTCCATAAAAAACAAATGAGGTTTAAGTTTTCCAATTTGAGTGAAAGGAAACACAATGGAAACTTCTTGGAAAGGAAGAAAACATGTAACATGTAAGATTTTTCCGTTTCCTTGAGGATGCTTAGTTTAAAACCAGTCTGAAACCAAGATAAGTTTGTTCTGAAACAAATCTTAATCTAAATCTCGCTCACCACTAGGAGATGCGAAATATTTCCTCTTTACAAAATAAAAATGTTAGGAAGGATGATTTTTCAAATTCTTTACAACATTGAAAAAAAAGTACCAAATCCTATAATATAATAATGATATTAGCCCTACTTTGGAGTCATTCATTGCCGGATCGCTCGATAACAAAGTTATTTCCTTTGAATCAATTTGCCTTTTATGAGCTCTTTCGTAAAACTATAGATGAAATAAATACGTTGTTGACGGAAAGTAATTGTAAAAACATGTCGTTATATGGTCATGCAGTGGGCTGCTTTATCTTTATCTAAACATAAACATCGCGAAATAGTGTTTTTAAAGTCGGCTGCACGCTAAACAAAGCTTCATTCACTGAGAGAAAGAACAAAAAATCCTTAAAGCCTTGACAAGCTGAGGTAGGTTCTGATACTCTAGCTTTTTTACTCCTAGAGTAGTGAAGACGTGAATGTGGTTTTAACTTTTGATTCTTTTAGGAAAATCTTTTAGTGTTACCATTTTAAATGAAACCTCTTCAGCGGTACTTTGACATGATACAGCGGACGGTTTATTTAGCATGCGTTTGGCTCTAACATTTACGGCATCTGTGGATAAAATCCTCTGGTGTTACCATTTAAATGAAACCTCTTCAGCAGTACTTTCACATGGTACAATTTGTTTTTCTACATGTGAGTATTTTTTTTTTTTTTTAAAAAATAGGCTAGTTTTGAGTTTTGGTACCCTTGGAGGCCGAGACGACGCAACGTTTAACTCTTTCTGCCGTACATTAACTTACAAAACCGACATGTTTCAAAGCGGAAGATAAAAAAAAGAAATTATATCAATAAACTATTGACGTTCAAAGGTAATTCAAGTTAGCAATAAATTATCACTAGAACGAATTATCCCGATATTGACGTTTTTCTCATAAAACAGGTCTGTGGTCGCAGGAAAAAAACATTCCGCCCAGCCTTTGACGTAAATCGTCATATATCAAGAGCCATGAAGCCGTTTAAAATCCCGGCAAGCAAACCATTTAATGGCTAGAAACCATTCAAAGCTATTAAGATTGACACAACATTTGCTCAGCCCTATCGAGTTGAGTCTGCCGTTACGCTGGCCACTTTCTCTACCCAGGAAATACATTTCTGTTTTAAGTTTGAGAAAAAATCTGAAGAAAAGGGCCTTTAAAAGCATCAAGTAAATTAGTTTGATTTTTAGGTATTATACTAGCGCAGTTCTACCAAATGTACCTATATCTTATAGTTTTAACTGAAGCTAAAACAACAAACCGTTGTAATGCCGGCTTTAATACGGTAATGTACAATTTACAGATGGTAAGGGAATTTATCTTTTTGAAGGCGTCTTCCTCGAACAAGCGCTGACATTATTAAACAGTTGTTTGTGAAATGGAACCAGAAAAGACAAATAAGCACCGGCCGAAAGAGCCATAACAACTTTTCAGTGACGCGCAGTAATATCTAATCTTTGCTTTTTATTTCTATTTTATTTTTTTGAACTAGGTGTAGGTACACGATAACTCTCATTAGTTTATAACAAACAACAGTTTTTTTTAATTAGAAAGAGCCTTACGGCGCCGTAAATTGCTTGCCTTATAAACTTCGAATTTTTCATTTCCTGTCATGGTGAACAGATTTCTTTGATTTTTTTGTGGCGTGTTCTTTGGGTGGAATTTAAACCGGTTCCGACTTGTTTGTTTACTAATGAATTGAGCACATGAAACAAGAACTAGTCAGCAAGAAGAAGTAAGTGACGCTTCCATGAGATGCTATAATTATAAAAAGCGGCGAAAGTAATTTCGTTGTATGCAGAGATTATTAACATACCGAACAGCTGCGCGGCTGCTTTAAGTGTTCAAATAAGCCATCTCAAAAAACAAGGACTCAAACAAAAAGTTTACCTTTTCCCAATGACGAGTGGTTAATTAGTCGACCGCGAACTGTGCTAAAATTTTCAGTTACTGAAATCTCACGAAAATCCAATGCTATTCGTCCCGCATACCCTTAGGATCATTATAAATGATGGGATTACTTGCGATATAAGGTTCAGATAGGTATCCATTAGTTGCCACATGATAATAATCTGTTAAAATTTATTTCAAGACGAGGGCGGGAAAACTCCGGATAAGATAAACCTTTCTGAATAATTCTTGAAAGCGAGCTGAGGATGAATTTGAAAAATGTTTAAAGTTGATAAGGCATGTCCGAATATTGAATTGTCGACGAAAGTTCCGCTTGTCTTCATTCAAAAAAACTTAGCCGAATCACAAGCACTTAAGAAGGGTAAAGTAAAATGAAGGTAATAACAGTCCACCTAAGCAGCGGCAAGTCAATTTAAGTTACAGTTCAAACTGCGCAAGCAATTATGCTTATTTTCAGCTGTAGAACGTTTATTTTTATGGTAATATCTTGGCAAACTAAAACATATTTGTCGATGCGAACTCTCCGGATAAACTCTTACAGTCATTTTTTGCCATTAAGTTTAAGACCTACTTTTAGTAGATCAGTTGTCAAGTTAACGTTCTGACAGATACATGACAACATGTTTAACTACAGTCTACATACACTCTATAGACTACTAATGTCTGAATAAGCGAACGACTTAAAGAACGTCAGGGAACCATTTGGGTAGTTCAGTATACTGGACCATCTTTAAATTATCCCTGGAAGCCCAGCTTGCCATAAGCTGATCACCCTTTGATATCAGTATGTAGAAAAACCTGATTCTCGGATCTTCTTTCTATTGTTCCACTAACAATGCAGAGAATTTATTTTTTGAGACAAAGCAGGGGTCATCACGCAAGGACAACATGGTTCTTCTAGAAAAGTGAAAGAATCTCTTCCTTTAGGATTAGTTGAATCGGCAGGAGTTTCAGGCACGAAATGAGTGCTATACTAATTTAAAATGTGATGACCGATAATTTCTTTGCCAGAGAGCTTTCAGAACCTTTTTAGCTATTTGAAGCAACACACTTTACTAGTTCACGGTGACGGTAAGGATTCATTATCATCCTTCGTGTCGATCACCAGTTAAAAGCAATAGAATAGCATCAGACAACCAGACTGAGTTTTATATATACATATCGACTATCACTGTTTGCGTAAAGAAATATGGGCGCTGCCAAGCTAAAATCTGCCAGGAAATGATAACAGAGCTAGTGCACTCACGCAAACACGAGATTGGCCATTTCGGAGTTGCGTAGGGAACTGGGGCGAGTTTCAAATTTAAGCTCATCGATAAACTGACACCACCATATGAAAAGTCATGTTGAGATTGGTTTTTGACCAAGTTTGGTGCTCTAAAGTTGAACAGAAATCAAGTTATGATTCTTGGTTAAAGATCCCGTAAAAAACGTCTGCAATTTTGTGACAGCGTCCCCCAAAACCATATAAACTCTTAATTGTTGCACGACTTCCGTGATATTCCTGAAAATGGGCAAACATAGTGATTTTCGAATTAGTTCCTTCCAAGTTGAAGATGCATGGCGAATTTTACAGTTTAACAAAAAAACTGAAAAATATTTTAAAGAGTTTATGAGAATTGAAAGATGAATTTGTAAAATCGCCTTAGACCCAAGGCATTTGTTGTTGTTGTTGTTGTTGTTTTTTTTTTCATTGACGACACATTGAAAACGACTGAAGATTGAAACTGACCAACAGTGATAACAGCGATAGTAAACTTCTAGACTTCTTGGATCAAAATGAAAAAATATGCAAACTACATTGAAAAAAAGGGAAATAGAGGATATTACACGGTGGCGCGAAGATATGAATTTTATTTTCGAGTGCCACGAGAAAATAAAATTTATATCTTCAAGCCGCCGTGTAATGTTCTTTTTATTATATAGACAAAATGACATCATAAAATAATAGAGGGAAATGACCAAAATTACGTCATCGATAAACTCACGTGTGAGATTATGGAAAATAAACCACTCGGGTCCCGGATGTAGTGTTTATGAATTTTACGAGTGGTACATTTTCCAGTAAAACACTCGTGTCTATATAATAAAAGGAAAATAATCACGGGCGGATCAACGGGAGAGTCCTGGGCCCCCATCCAGTGTCTCAAAGTGCCCTTAACGGGAATTAGACTGACCGATATTTAATTTAGCAAGGCAGTGGCATATTACTTTGTGTTTTGCTATATAACCTTGCAAGAATCTTACTGGAAAGTATGCCGGTTCAAGTTCCTATGTCTTATCTCTAGTACTCAGCAACTTTGCTGATTGGTTTCCTTTTCTTCCTTTTAGGTAAAATTTCAACATGATGGCCAAAATCGTTATCGTACTGACGCTTTTAGTAGTTATCACAGAAGCAAGGTTTTTGGATCGAGAGCGGGATTTCTTTCAAGATACAAGTAAACGTAGTGTAAGAGTACAAAGCTTAGTTTACCTTATGTTTAACTATGTAGATGCAATTTTATTTTGCTATAGTTGGCCTACCCATGCGTAATAGAGAAAACAAACGTTATCTCGTTATTGTGTTGCTGCGAAAACTGTTGTATTGTACTCGCGAGTAGCCTGAATTTCATCCGATTACTTCGAGTCCTTATTACTCCCTCAGTTGTTGAGAGGAGAAAACGACTCGAAGCAATCGGACGAATTTCAGGCTAACTCGCGAGCAGTTTGCTTTCTTTCTGCAGGGAACAGTGGCGGCTGGGGTTTTGCTAAAAGCAGGCCCGCGGCCCGGTGACCCGAAGACCCAGCGGCCCGCGGCCCGCGACCGCCCAGCGGCCCTGCTGCCCGGCGGCCCAGAGGCCCGATGGCCCAGTCCTGATTTTCGCAGTTTTTTTGTCCAGAGGTAAATCCACGCGCATGCACAGATCTGCATCGTGTTAGGGCGTGCAAAATAGACGACGGTGAGTTTGAATTCGTTTACCATTTAATCATTTGAATCCTTGTCTCTGTTTGTTGCATGTTGTTCAGATAAAAACGTTTTCATTCTCTGTTCATTCGTCTCTTTAAAGAAACCGATAGCACAATAGGTGGTTTTCACGTTACGTGATCGCCGCCATGACGGTGGACGGTAAACAAAAGATCGCTCATTAGCTCGCTTTGTTTGTCCACCACCATTTGTTCATTTCACCATTGTTATTTGTGTCTCCCGAGATTGCATGAAAACCACCTATAGAGGACTTTCATTATCGAACGATGTAAGTTATTTTCAAACCATACTTTGAAAGTAAAAATATCATAAGTGATGAGATACGTGAACTGCGAATTTTTTTCTATACAGAGACATGTCTGTCTATTTACAGGAACCCCACCCCAAAAGGAGAGCAGGGCAGAGTTTATCAAACTGTGGTTTGAAAATAACTTACATGTTTGAGAACGGACTTCCTCTCTATCGGGTTCTGTAAACAGACGAATAAACAGAGCATGACAACGTTTTTTACTTAGCAACATGCAACGAAAGAAAGGGTCGAAAAGGATTGAAATGATTATTAAAATGGTAAACGAATTCAAACTCACCGTCGTCCATTTTGCACGCCCAAACCCGATGCAGATCTATGCATGCGCGTGGATTTACCGCTGGACAAAAAAACTGTGGAAAATCAGGACTGGGCCGCCGGGCCGCTAGGCCGTCGCGGGCCGTGGGCTGCGGGCCTGCTTTTAGCAAAACCCTGGCGGCTGTGCCTAGTCCCTTTCGTGAACGGTCGTTGGCATTTTTAAGGGTCGATACCACCATTGGTAACCAGGCCTTTAGCCATGATAGATGTAATATTAACCTCGTTTCCAGGGGTCCTCTCATAGAGAGAGCACTTGGCCTGGTCTGGTCACGTGTCGATTGAGCGAGTAGGAGAGGACCCTGGGAACCAGATTAATGTGATATGTTATGTTCCCTGGATTAAGTTGGATTAAGCTACAATAAGGCACATAACACGATTTTGAATAGCCCTAGGAATGAACGACGTTGAAGCCCAAGTTAATTTTTTCGTTAAAAGTTCTGGGAAGGGTTAGGGTCAGCTGTTATTGATGTATCGATTAAGGATGACATTGTGTGCGAGTTTATGTACTTAATATCGGTCGGTGTGGTAGTGTAGTGGTAAGGGAGAGATATTGGGATACTAAAGGTCCGAGTACGACCCTGGGTTGCGATGTTCTTTTTTCCTTCAATAGAAACACTCTCAATGGCAGTGACGATTTACGAAAGGGAAATTCCCAGCGGGCCTAATTCTTTTTCTGCAGCTGTGCAGGTCAACCACTTGCCAAAACTAAATGCAGAGGTTCGAGAAATTAGGTTGTAGACAATCTAGAACAACCTTAGCTGTAATCCATCCCAGCTATCTACTGTTTAAGGCACCTAATTAAGAGTGTGGACTTTCTGTTCGTTTTTAGTGCAATTTAGGTGAGACAGTATGCTCAAACGATAGTCAATGTCAGTCATGGTGTGGAAACCGAACTGTTATCTGCAATTATATAAGGCGATGTAACTATTCAAGCTTTATTGACGATGTAATCAGGAGTAAACCGGTAAGAATCAGTATCAATCCATGCCCAACATAAAAAATATAGCCGTGAAAAAATCTCAAATCTTCGTTTTCTCGATGCACAAAAACAAATTCGAAATGACAAATTTACCTAGTGTCGTCTGTGTCTGTCTCGCATTAAGTTTTTGTCTTTTTGTACTATCCAGGGGCCTGTTTCTCGAGAAACCCCGGAAAGTTTTGTCAGCGTCAAGCCTCGTTTAAATAATAATAATAATAATAATAATAATAATAATAATAATAATAATAATAATAATAATAATAATAATAATAATAATAATAAAACAGTCAAAGCGCCGGTCCTAGCTAACAAACTAGTCTGATAGTTTTACTATATTATCTGCAAAACTATTGAACAAAAGTAAAACAGCTGTCAAAGCCCGAAACGTTACCCGGATTTCGAAAAACAGGCCCCAGGCCACAATGAATAGTCCACAGGGATAGGCAAGCGATTGGCTCACATTATCATGATTTTAATAATAACACGATGACCATTGACCATTATCAATACAATTTTATCCGCGGCGGAATGGGGACTTCGCACGTTTGACCCCCAAGCAAGAATAATACTTGACTTTCAGGGAATTAAAATAACTGCGGGCGAAAATATTGCCTTTGCTTTAGAAACGGCTAGACCTTCACGAGGCTCTAATGACCACAGAGGAGGCCACAACAATGCCCTTTATTAGTACTTCGTGCTAAATAACCTGACTCTAAAACTAGAGTCGACCATTTTAGCAAGAAACTATGCGTCAAACCTATTGCAAGGATAATGGCACTTTCCAAAAACTGAGCATGTGACTGAAATTTTCTTGAAATTTATAATTTAAATGTAGCATTAAGTGTACACCCTCCCATAAACCCCACCCAGCAAGGATCTCGGTGCTTTAATAGCCCATAAGGATGGGCGGCAGCCCAATAGCAGCTATGTTTGGCTCTTGCAATCTTAAACAATCCAACACATAATACGCAGTTTTTGCTGCCTAGTCACTCGCGTCTCGCGTTTGCCAATGTGCGAAAAACAAATTGCTTGAGGAGGAGGTAGCAATTTTTTATTATTTTGTCAGCTTTGTCCAGGATTTTCTGCACCCACAATTGTAAACGCTTAGAAGACCCTAGGACGAAGTTGGAATTAAGTTTATCAACTTTCTCTTAAATTCCAACTTGTTACTTGTATGCTTTGCTATGCTTTTCCTTTCTTACAGTGCTACTCTATCGGACTGTGGAAGAGTCCTTGTACGTCGAATAGCGACTGCCGGTGCAATGAAGGCAACGGACTAGTGTGTGAGGATAATGAATGCGTTGAGCCACCAAGAACTGACAAGATGACTGTATGGAGGCACCGTCTTTAACAAGTTGTTGATCACCTCCTATTCTTTACCTTAACTGTCTAGCTTTCGGTACTGTTTGCATGAGAACAAATTTTTCGCGATGGAATTTCGAATACGAGCCCCACGCAGAGAGACTTAAAAACATTTCAGTCCTCATCCCAGGCCTTTTCGTTACACACTTCTTCGACTGAGTTTCACCCACCACTCTCGCAACTTCGGTTCTACCGCCGTACCCTGGGTATTCTCGCCTGCGGTTGGATGCTTCGGTGTTGGTCGCAGGCCGACAGATCTTCGGCCGAAGTGACGAGCGGCGAAGCGGGTAACTCTAAAGACTTGGCCGAAACCGGACCCGCGCAGTCTCTGGTACTACCACCGCGAAACCATAGGCAAATTTTTGTTCTCGTGTGAACAGTGTCGCCAGTTACATAGGTTATACGTACGAAGAAAAGTTCACCTGTACTGATTCATATGGCGCAGCTAAACACGATGTAAATTTCTTGAGATTATCCTGAAGGGTTCGTAAATAAATTAAGGTAATGCTAGTGTTGTTCCTTCAATTTGTGTTCATGCGACATGCGCAGAAGGCAATGCTCATAATAGCCCATTTTCTAGTTCCACAAACTCTCACTTTAAAAACGAGGCTAAGTGCAAAAACCTTTGCTGTGAAAATGAGTTTTATTTGCATGAGAACAAAAAATTCATTTTCATATCAAAGCCTTTGCAGTTAGCCTCACTTTGAAACAGAGGCTTGAGGCAACTTGGAAATGGCCTCTTGGCCAGGGATTAAACATTGGCAGATTTTGTCATGTGGTACGCATGCGCAGTAAAGATAAAAATACAACGGCAAAGGACGATAGGTCCTTATTTTACGTCTGTAACTCGTAACAGTACTTAAACTGACAAGCCATAGGCCGACGGTATGCTCATTTTACCCCCCTCTCTCTAGCAATCGGATCCGTTTTATGGGTATTTGAGCTACTGCACGGAAAGGAAAAAAGTCAAAATAAGGATATGAGGTCAAACCTGAGTATCGAACTCGGAACCTTCCGCACAGAAGACCACGCAAAAGGTTGCCCGATTCGCGGCTGCGCTATTCTGATCGGGCTTAAAAGGGCTCAGTATGTCACGAGGATAACACTGTTTGAAGGCAATTCTGGGCTGAAGTCATTAATTACTGCCTCTACCCCATACATCTACCTGGCGAAATATCCAGCCTTGACTCTATGTCAAATTTTAAATGCCATGTGAAAGCATATCTTTGTAAACAAGCTTTTAATTCGTAGTAGAGTATTTACTTCGTTTATTTTATTATTTATCATTTATTATCATTTTATTTCATTTCTACCTCCTTGTAAATTTCACTCATTTTTAGTCTTTCTTTTTAACTTATTGTAAAGCGCATTTGATCATGTGCCATGGAAAGTTGCGCTGTATAAGTTTTAATTATTATCATTATATACATAACCCTCCTCTAGAGGTATGAAGAAGATATCAAACTAATTTCATCAGAGAACAATAACCTCAATATTTTGGGTGATTTTTGCAGGCATAGCCTTAAATTTCGAGAAAGTTGGCCCAATTTTTTTCAAGTTTGAATCCATTTCCGTCCTTGCCATCCGTTACAACTAGACTGTAAAACAGTCCGTATTTTTGCGTATTAAAGTACGCGCGAACAGTCAAACAAAAAGTCTGGAACGAGGCTGAAAAACAGAGAGCGAGACTGGGGAGAGACGCTAAAAGTCTCCTCTCGCCCCACAGCGAGAGTGGCTCTCACAACCAAACACGTCTTAAGATTAAACTTTTTATTATAAGGGGACTTACTCTTTCACTTCACAGTTCTTCACAACTTCCTCAACAACTTCTTTCTAACAACGTCTTTCTTCAACTAATCTTGTGTCCGCTGCACTTCACTTTCGTTCTCTCTCTCTAAAATCTACTCCTTCGCATCTCGCTATTTATTTGTTTGTTGGTCGTTGACCATATGTTTACGTTGATAATATATTTATGTTGTTATTATTATTTATTAACTTGTTAAGCTTTGTTACGCAAAATTCCTTTTAAAAGCCTTTCTTTGGTTCTGAAGGAGAATAACCAGTAAAGGAAACTAACTAAGCAAAGTTCAGTAGAAGGAACACACTTTTACGCAACTACTTTTAAGTTACTTGGTTCTTTGAAGCTAAAAAACCAAAAGTGCAAACTTCGTTAATGACAAACAAAGGACAACTCCCATATTAATAAATGTGAGAACAAGATAAATAGAGGAAAAACTTTACCAACAAAATCGAGCCGCAAAACCTTAACTAGCTAAGTCAGTTACTAAAAATGTGGAAATGTCCACTTAAAGGATAAGCACCTTCGAAGGGACGTCAAGTTCGGAGAAAAGATGTCCCGCTCAAAAACCTCATTCCTTGAACACACGAAAGAAGAAATTCTTAACTTAGTCAGAACATTCCTAAAGAGTCATAGAATGCACAAAGAAAAACCTGAAAATACATGATGGTACAGATGGGGGTTGTCTTTGGTCAATAACCAACTAAGAAGTGATGCACGTGATCTGATTTCGTGCATGGTGCAAGAAGGCACACTTTTAATCTTTAATCTTTTAGATAAGAAGTTCATTAGCAAATGTTATTTATCTCCTCTGATACTAATTAATAAAGAGTCAAAATGTTCCAGAACCTAGAAAACTTTCTACAACGATATATATCAGTATTTATGTCGAATCAATCAGATACAATTGTCAGAAATCAATCAGATTTCATGCTTCATGCTTTATCTTTTCACATTTTAAACATTATTTATTGGCGTCACATTTTACTTATTCCGCAAAGGACATATTTAGCTAAATCAAGTCAAACATCGGTTTCATTTTAAAGATCATTGGAAAGATATACAGAACTTCCATCAAGTTATAATATTTTTCATAAATCGGGGAGATACGTCCCGTGACAAGATATAGAAGTTAAAGTTCGATGAGAATGAACCGTTGCATTTAAGACTAGAAGCACAATTGTCAACTCTCCCTTATTTGTGTGAATATCAGTTAATTAAATATTTGTAATTCTCTCGANACAAAATCGAGCCGCAAAACCTTAACTAGCTAAGACAGTTACTAAAAATGTGGAAATGTCCACTTAAAGGATAAGCACCTTCGAAGGGACGTCAAGTTCGGAGACAAGATGTCCCGCTCAAAAACCTCATTCCTTGAACACACGAAAGGAGAAATTCTTAACTTAGTCAGAACATTCCTAAAGAGTCATAGAATGCACAAAGAAAAACCTGAAAATACATGATGGTACAGATGGGGGTTGTCTTTGGTCAATAACCAACTAAGAAGTAATGCACGTGATCTGATTTCGTGCATGGTGCAAGAAGGCACACTTTTAATCTTTAATCTTTTATATAAGAAGTTCATTAGCAAATGTTATTTATCTACTCTGATACTAATTAATAGAGTCAAAATGTTCCAGAACCTAGAAAGCTTTCTACAACGATATATATCAGTATTTATGTCGAATCAATCAGATACAATTGTCAGAAATCAATCAGATTTTATGCTTCATGCTTTATCTTTTCACATTTTAAACATTATTTATTGGCGTCACATTTTACTTATTCCGCAAAGGACATATTTAGCTAAATCAAGTCAAACATCGGTTTCATTTTAAAGATCATTGGAAAGATATATAGAACTTCCATCAAGTTATAATATTTTTCATAAATCGGAGAGATACGTCCCGTGACAAGATATAGAAGTTAACGTTCGATGAGAATGAACCCTTGCATTTAAGACTAGAAGCACAATTGTCAACTCTCCCTTATTTGTGTAAATATCAGTTAATTAAATATTTGTAATTCTCTCGACTAATTATAGTGGCTTCTCTACGTATCTTCAAATAATACATTGATTTCACGGTTATTTGAACCGATTCACTGAGGAAAAATTAAATAGGCAAAAACAAAGGTACTATCATGTAAAAGTTACACTCCTGGGCCGAGTTGTTCAGAGCTGGGTTAAGATAACCTCAAGATTAGTGCGAGATTTGAATTAACATGTGAAATGAGTGATGAGAGCCTCCCGTGCATAACTGGGCTGGGGTAAAGATGTACCCCTTACTGCAGGCAGAGACATTTCTAGCTTAAGGTGTATCGATACAAACCGATATTTTTCAATCGCCTTAAAAATGATTTTATTCTTATCCGCCGAACCGCCATAAAATTTTCACCGTTAACTGACCTTGAATTGAAGTTTGTCAAAATATTGTTTTAAGTAAACTCGATATTACCATGACAACGATAAAAAAAATACTGAAATCAGTTAAAGACGAATTTTGTAACTGGCGTTAAAAATCCAACACCAGGAACTTGAAGTGCGGTGTTTGGCAAACAACCTCTGTGAAAATAAAAAAAATTCTGTACGTTTGAATTCAAATAAAACGCAAATATATTTTAAGCCATATATTTTCAATAGTCGTTATAAATGAACGAATAAGCAAATTCCAAATAGCTCAAATTTTTCCAAAGCATCATCATAATGCTGCTTAATAGCATATTTTCATGATAAGACATTTTGGTGTATTTCCTTTCTTGCGATCTTGGAAACTAACTTTCTTTCTAAACACCGTTCCAAGTGTAAAATCTTGATTCTTTTAACTCTTTTTCATATATCTCAGGAACGGCTGGATGGAAATCTTTAAACAACTCATACCGTAATCTTTATGCGGTGTTTATTAATGTGTCAAACTTTCATCAACTTTGATTCCGTGTAACACTTTCAAATTCAAAGCCGAACCAAACCTACGAAATGGTAAAAAATCTGCGTTGCGATGATCATCGTTTTGACGTTGGGCTAATTCTTTCAAATTAAGCATAAATGTTGCTAGTCTCCCTCGCAGACCTTTTTTGGATGTCACGCAACGCTCCCCCAAAAGGGGGGGGGGGGGGGGGGGGCGTTGCATGACATCCAAAAAACGGCTGGGGGGGGGACTAAGATATTGCACACCATAGTGCTAAAAGACAAAAGGCAGCTTGTTGTTTTGGGCCTACAAATATATACAATGGCTAAGATCACCCTAGAGTGTTAAACTGCGACTTAAGCTATAAATCGCTGTTTCGACAATAACTGTTAGTAATACTGCTGTATGTCGATAGTTTTTCCGAAGCTAGTTTTGCGACCTGTACAGTAAACACACTGCATATAAGAAGAGTGGATAAAGAACATCAGGCTGAAAGTTGACCAATAAAGCACCATATACATAACAACCAATTCAGCCTGATAAATTAAACATGTTCTCATATAAAAAAAAGAGGATGTCAGAATACGAAACCAATACAGTACAATATACTTTACTTATATCAGAAATTACAGTACGTATTTATTTTTAATTAAATTTTCAAATTATTTTTTGTGTAAGTACATAAAACATCGTATGTATGTTAATTAAACCTCTAATAATGTATTTTTCAGGATGATTTCTCACTAAGCACCCAGGGAATAAGAACTTGATCAGCCTGAAACCCCAAATCATAGGTTTTTATATGCGGCTGTTTACTGTATGGCACACGGCTTCCCATTTATAATCGGTTACGCATGCGCTGATAAGACTTCTACCAAACACCACTGTGAATGGCGGGAAACAAGGACCTTTTTTGGAACAACGGTTGTGTATTGTTTAACAAAGGAAGTTCGGAACTCGTCACCATCTTAGGTAAATAGTGTCTCCACTTTGTACAGAATAAAATGTGAGTTGTCGTAAGTCATCATCCAATTCAACTTCTCTACCAAGCTGTAAACAAAAAGAAAATATAAACCGAAACTCAAAGGGCCGGTTATTGAAACGAAGTTTTGCCGCTGCTAATTTATCTGATAAAAAAAAACGTTATAAGCCATCTTTCTTTGGCCAACCCTACTATCTTAACAGTTATTTTATACTATGACCGTGTCTAGAAGGCATATAGTGCAGACTAAAGAAATATTTATCTCCCTAAAATCGAAATCCGCTTATTAACAGTCAGTCAGATCTGGAGTTCTTGTCCAATGTTTACCATGTTAGATAAGGGAACGGCCCGAAGACTTTAAAGTTTTTCTGTCTGTTATATTGTGCAGATTAATTACAAATGATTCCCACTAACGGAAACAAGAAATTCATGATCTCTTATAAACAGACTTTTCCGTTGGTGAGGTGAAGAATACAAACTAAAGTGCTTGGCTTGAAATTAAGTATTCGGTGCAACTACAGAGATTTCAGCATCAAACAAGTAATAAAACAAACAAAAAACTTTCGAAAGTGAGCAACAAGAGGACATGGCCTGTAGAAGGCGGGAAGGACATAAGGGGCCAAGCTGGAGAACTAACTAAGAACTTAGGTATTATGCAGGTGAGATGTGGTGAGATGGTGGATATACTCACGCGTCATTATACTACATGAGGATCCACAATGATGCTCAGGTCAGGCTTGTATTTATCGATATAAAAAGTACAAATACCAATTGTCTACTTTTATCACAAGGAAAACTACCCACTACTGTATAAATTTTACCGACGTTTATGTAGTCATTGAGAATGTTGACCGCGAGGATCACATTTATCATGTTTTTGACCACAAAACAATTGTGCACGTTTGAAGGTAAAGGGAAGTTCATCTTCTTCCGTTGAAAACTAAGAAGCATGGGGAGAAGACAATTCAGGATATCAGTTGAATATTAATACACAGTTACATTAAAGCTCTTTAATTGGCTGAACGGCGATATACCAAAGAAAACTGAATATCGGGGTTCATCACCAAGAACGCGTTTACTGTAGTAAGCTGTGTTATATGTACTCACCTTGTTGTCTACAGACGATAATCTTTGGTCGGAACTGTCAACTTTAAACAATCGATAGAGTAACCCTTTAAGCTTCCCTATTGTCATAGTTCCTGCAAAAGACCACCCGACCAGTTTATTGACGAAGAAAAAAAATCAAACATTTGTTTTCTACGCTTGTAAGTCTCAAGTTAGCTACAAACTTTCCATTTCTTACGAAAAAAGGTGGTTTTAAAGCTTTAAAGATGTCTAAGAGAGGTGATACGTAACACAATGTTGCAATCTTTCAGTGTAAAAAGAAGCTCAGGTTTTTACCTTCAATTGGCTTCTTTGTCCCTCGTTCGCTCCTCTTGGGAAAGATTAAATTTTTATATAGTTTCTTTACGACAGGACATACAAATAGATCTTTGGGCTTAAAGAAGGATTCAAAATATCAAAAGAAATCATGCACGCTACGTTGTTTGCGAACGTGAAAACTGCCTCTTCACGTTCACGTTCATTACATTCAAACTGCAAATGGCGGATGGCAAGCGGCGGCAAGCGTCAAAAATGGCGGGGAAATTATGATCACGTGGTAGTTTTCCCTGCCCTTCACGGTTGGCTGGCTGTTAGAGAATCAAGAAATCTCCCATATTTCCGATTTCTTCGAATTTATATGTTTTCCCCTCTAGCTAGGGGTTAAAAAAAGTGTTCTAAGCTTCTTCGCCTGGTAGTATCTTCGAGACAGTTTTCTTGTCTGCGGCATCAGGACACGTGTTAAGGAATGAGGGAAAATCATACCCCAGGGGATATATTACCTATTTGAACCTATAACCTATCAGAAGCCAAATCAGTCCTGTGGCATTAAATGTATGCTAAACTCCTTCCCTGCTAGCAGAGTTGCTTCGACCTTTCCTAGATAAGTCGGGAATGAGGAGTTATCTAGGAAAGATCGAAGTGACTTTGCCAGCAGGGTACTTCACCTGGTAATTTCTTCGTGACAGATTTCTTGTCTGGGGCATCCAGACACGTGATGGTCACAGCTGTACAGGTGTTGTTAAGGATTGAGAAAAAAATACAATTTATTTGAACTTATCAGAAGCCACATAGGCGCTAATAGTACTTGCCCTTGTGGGCTTTCCTACGCTGATTGTCAACTCTGTGTTTTTATGACCTCGGCATCCGAACGGTATCCAGCAACACTTTAAAACAATTGTGTAATGCCACGAAACATCCATTCCCCCACCCCCAAACTAAAGGAGGGAACTTTAGACCCACATTTCGTAGAATCTTGTCATACCCCCACTCCCTGGAATTTCACACAAACTCGATCAGGGGTCAGTGGCGGATCCAGGGGAAGGGCCCGGGGGGGCCACCCCTCCTTACTTTTAGACCAAAATGAGGCCCGAAGGGCCGAAAAATTTTTTTGAGCCTCCCCCCCTTATCTCAGGGTCTGGATGACCGCCCCGCTCCCCACCCCCCTTATCTGAAGATCTGGATCTGCCACTGGGACTTTCAATAAGCACAGACGGCCGACGAAACACGTCGGCTACTTTGCTCACAGAAGTCGATTAATTCTTCCTAGAAAGAAGAAGCAACTAGTTTGAAAAACGTTGTAACCAAAAACTATATCATAAGATCTGAATGAAAACGTAATTATGAGTGTTTTCATAAAAGCCCAATGGTTTTATGTTGTGCTTTAATCATGTGAACGCTACATTTCAGTCAATTTTTCACAAGTTTCTTTAGAGGTTTCCGCAGAATTTGTTTACGAGAAAAAGTACGTAATTTAGTTTCATCATTTGTTCATTGCTGGTAGGAATTGAATGAGTTACTGATAAATCGAAAGATGCATAAAAGCTACATTTCCTTGAATCAAAAACGCACTCTCCTGTCCTCAATTTAGTCCCCAGAACGCTGAAAACTGCGGCTTTGTAATTTCAAAGCACGCCTCAGANCAGAATTTGTTTACGAGAAAAAGTACGTAATTTAGTTTCATCATTTGTTCATTGCTGGTAGGAATTGAATGAGTTACTGATAAATCGAAAGATGCATAAAAGCTACATTTCCTTGAATCAAAAACGCACTCTCCTGTCCTCAATTTAGTCCCCAGAACGCTGAAAACTGCGGCTTTGTAATTTCAAAGCACGCCTCAGACCCCCTCCCCATACAAATTCTTTAAACTGATCTCCATACATTTCCCTAAAGAATTAGTTGAGAGAATTAGTTGAAAAAATAAAGCATTTACCCTTGGGTGACCGTTAGATTGACTCTTATAATCTTTTCCCTTGATGACCTGCTGGTATTGTTAGGAGAACATTAAGGTTGGTCACTCTCCATAACACCGTTCGAAAAGAGTAGGGGAGTTTCCTAGGTAGTGTGGACTATCATAAATATCATGGATTGGGGCGGTAAGCTTATAAATGGACCGACAGGGGCAGTCAGTGGCAACTTGTATGCTGACGTCTGAGCTTAAGCAAAGGCGTTTCCGAGTGACACACGTCTATACCAGGGAAGATTGGGGAAGATGACAAATCACAGGAAGTTAGTTTTTTTCCCCTTAAAAGTATTGATGTTATCAAAGTTGCATTGCTTAGAGTTTGTGCTCTTAAAGAGATCATTTGCCCCGAAAATTTGGTCAAACCACTGCCCAAGAGTACAAAAAGTCAACTGCCGGTTGACGTACGTCGCTCAAAAACGTCCTTGCATTAACTCCTGAATAACGGCCCATTTTTAGATCGCGCGAGAGGCTGGGTCGGGGTTGTGTCGAACAGGCCACTTCCGAGTTCCAAAAACCCTCACTTTCAAAATGAGGCTAGGTGCACAACCTTTCTTGTGAAAATGAGTTTTATTTGCATGAAAATGAAAAATTATTTCCATATCAACGGCTGACAACCTACCCTCGTTTTGAAACAGAGGCCCGGGGGAACTCGGAAATGGCCCATTACACTTTGAGACTTTTTAAGGGATTAATTTTGACCCAGTCTCCTGCACAATCTCGTAACAACCAATGAAAGAAGCGATAGCGTCCCCAAAACGGTCCCATAGTGCACTTCGACACAACACCGACCCAGTCTCACGCACAAACTTAAAATGTTCAATTATGTAAAGAGGACATCCCCAAGTACTGTTGTTCCTCTTATCCGGGACTTTTCAAAGAAAGAAGTAAGAGAAGTATGGAACTTACAGAGGATAGTGACTGTGCATTAAAGAAGTCTCCTTGATATTTAATAGAATTTGTATCAATACATCATCAAGGATACAAATCAAAGAATCTTTTAACGTTTTGGAGCTACTTTGGCTGCGTTCAGCTTCAATGGGAACTCCATGAACTGAAAGACAATTTGAAAACATTGGCTATACACAAAAGGCTTACTCCTAGATATAATTGGAAATTTTTACACGGCTGAATCTGCGTGCGGGCAAGATGAAGCGAATCCTGTGTCACGATAGGCTACACGAGTGGGCCCATCTTGCCCGCTCGGGATTTCCCACGTGTGTCCCGCAAGAAAAAGCCATCTTTTCGACCCTGTAATGGCTGCGGCCGCACTTGAGGACTGGACCGAGTTTTTTCCAATGAGCTAATTAATTTTTAAAACAGACTGGCCGAACAGAAGGGGGCGGCCCCCCTCCCGTACTAACCCCCAACAGTGGAAACCAACTGTCAATTCTAAAACATATGGGCACTTGGACTGGATTAGGAAAAGAAGATCTGGACAATAACTTTCACCATTTATTATTGAGGGATTCAGAAAACCATTAAAATCGGCTGTTCTCAAATATGATTTTTCACATGATATTTCATATATTCATGACTACATCATCATCCTTTCACAGGTTTATAACGAACCAATTAAACGTCCTGCTCCCAGTTGGCTTTTTAGCTCAATTGGTAGAGCGCTGCACCAGTATCGCAGAGGTCAAGGGTTTGAATCCCTTACAAGCCTGAATGTTTTCAGGCTTTCTTTTCGCAACTGCAAAAAGCTGCGTCTATAACTGCGACGATCATCTTTAAGTTAATTAAAGTTGACTTGTTTAAAAAACTGCGACTGCAGTTTACCTGGCCCTCGTTTTCAAAAGAAGGATAACGTTATCCACCGGATAAATTTCTATCTACTGGATATCGCAATTGGTTTCTCCAATACTGACTTATCCACTGGACAGTGATTTATCTGGCCCAAGTTGTTCAAAAGTTGGATAGTGTTGTCCAACGGATAAATCACCATCCCACGGATAAGTGTTAGGGAAACCAATTGCACTATTCAGTGGATAGTGATTTATCCGATGGATAGCGTTATCTACCTTTTGAACAACTGGGGCAGTGTTATCCAGCTTTTGAACAACCCGGGGCCAGAACCTTAAACTGAACTTGCCCCCAAATCACGCTTCTCCGACTGAAGGTGCAGAAAAGTGGACAAAAATTGAGAAAATAATCCAAGTAGAGATGCAGCATACAAACAGAAATGACTGATACAACTATCAGGTTGTTGTACCTTTGATGAGTTCCTCGTATCTCGGGTGTAACTCTACAAATGCAGGATTCAGTGAACTGGCTTGCCCATCAGCAGTATTGCCACCAGCATTAATCCAACACTTGGCATACTTCTTTAGATAAGCCCGCTCTGCAGTCTCTCTCTCTTTTAAACTGACCTAACAAAAAGGAATAATACAAGTAAATAGCCTAAGAATCGTTCCACGTAAGGGAATCCAGATTCTGGAATCCATGAAATTTATCCTTACATTTAACATCTTGCTTGTGGAATCCGGAATCCTGGGCTCTAAAATCCAGAATACAGCTCAAGGGTTCCGGAATCCAACTAACAATTGGAATCTGGAATCCAAGTTCCACTGACAAAGACTAGCATTTAGTACCTGGATTCCGGAATCCACAGCGTGGAATCCAGAATCCAAAACTGTCTTGGGTTCCCTTACATGGAGCAATAAAAAAACAACCAGCACTTTCATGATGCCACCACTTGTTTCCCCATGAAATGACATCTGAAGAACAAGCGCAGAAATTCCATACTGATGACATGTCACAACCCACATCTGGGTACAGTATAGTTCTCAGCACTCGAACAAAAAATTTGTTTCCCCATTAAATGACATCTGAACAACAAGCGCAGAAATTTCATACTGATGACATGTCACAACCCACATCTGGGTACAGTATAGTGCTCAGCACTTGAACAAAAAAATACAACATACTCAGAACTCACCAAACTGCCATTGAGAGAGGCTAATGACGGTACGCGAGCAAGCAGCTCTTGACGACTGTCAAAAGTAGTCTCCCCTGCAATATCAAAATTACTTCATTATACACACACAGTTGAAACAATAACAGATTTTGTTAGCAACTCCAATAAATAACAAAGTTCAATAACACATAGAAAGGGCAATTTTTTTCTTGGCTTTTACCTCGGAAAAGAAGATTTCCTTTGAAGCGCAACTCACTTAATTTTGGTAGATGGTTTAACTCATTAATGCTCTGAATCTAGAATGAATTTGAAAACAAGGTTAAATACACTGTATGACGGATCATTATACGTTTTTGGGAGACTACCCCCTACCCCTCTCCTAAGCCAACATTTTGCACTAAGCGAGAAGTAAGTGTTAATTTTGGCTTAGGGGAGGGGTAGGTGGGCAGTTTCCTAGAAACGTATAATGATCCATGACTACAGTTACCTCCAACTAATTGCCAACCCTTTAAGCCCAAAATAAAAAAAAAATATCCACATACAAATTCTCCAAACTGATCTCTATACATTTCCATAAAAGCAGTTTCCTAGAAACGTATAATGATCCATGACTACAGTTACCTCCAACTAATTGCCAACCCTTTAAGCCCAAAATAAAAAAAAAAATATCCACATACAAATTCTCCAAACTGATCTCTATACATTTCCATAAAGAATAAGTTGAGAGAATTTGATAAAAGATTAAAGCATTTTCTCCCAGCTGATTACTTTATCAATTCTCATAACCTCTTCACTTGATTGTGTATTGATATTGTTTAGGAGAAAATTGATTGTTATTCTTAAGACTTCAAGGACTGTTAACTGCAAGTAGATTATTTGCTACACTAACGTTTAACTGTGGATGTTATTCTAGGGTGTTACCATTAAAATGAATCCCCCACAGCAGACTTTTTTTATAGTACCATTAATTTCTTAAGGTTTTACGAAAAAGAATTTTGAAAATATTTGGGAGAAGTTTTGCTTTGGTCTCTTTTTGATGGATAGAAATACCACTCATGAGTTCATCTGATTTAAGAGTCAGATTTTTTCTGCAAGTCCAATGCTCACAACACAACAAATAAAATTTTAACAGCTTTCCACATGTTATTCACTGAGCCTAATATTACCATCTTCAATAAACTGATTGCCACACAGTAAGCATTCAACACGGCTAATAATAGAAGTGTGCAGGCCTTGATCATTTTATAATGGATGGCTTTGCTTATCATGAACACCCCAGCAGTTTTTTTGAGAGGTTGTAAGTAACTTCAATTGACAAGACAGTTATTTCATTTTATTTCATCTCTTTTATAACTGTAAATACAAATCTGCTTTTAACAGCCCGTATGCATGTTTATGTTAGATAAGATAATTTCACCACCAATCCTCGTTTTTTTTTTAAAATTAAATTCTTTGCTTTTGTCCTTGTTGGTCACCCTGAATTTTTGTCATTCATGCCTTTGGGATTCAAAGTATTTTTGCAAGAGCCAACCTTATATACAGTGGAACTTCTATATAACAAGCCTCTATAATTATAGCAAAGTCCTCAGTACAACAAACGATTTTCTTCACCCCAGAAATAGTAAAATATATGGAAAAGAACCTGGATATAGCCAAACCTTGTTAAAGTGAACAAATAATTTTGCCAGTCTTTTGGCCTTTTGTTATATAGAGCTTCCACTGTATTTCCAAAAATATTGCGTTAGTCGGGAACACAATTTGATGATGAACCAGAACAGAAAGAACAATTTGCATTTTCTTACCTGACTAATTTTGTTTCTGCTAAGGGAGAGTGATTGTAAAACTGGGAACAGAAGCTTGTCAGCTTGCCCATCTAAACAGAATATCACATTTATCACATTAAATGCAGTGTTAATAGAGCATATTTATTGGAACAAAGGAACGTTTTCAAGTCACTTTCAAGAAGAAGAAGAAGAAGATGAGAGGTATAAAATTGAAACAAACCTTGTACTTTGTTTCCTAATTCAATACTCTCTATTCCATTGTCATTCAATATCAGACAATTGAGTCTAAAAGAAAAATTAATGTGATATAAACACATGCATTACTAAAGGGAAATGATCAGTATAAAATGTAACTTTAAATTATGCAGCTCAGTCTGTTGAGCATAGAAAAGTAGTGTTGTGTATACAAATGTAGCTCATTGACCAATTTAACATACATGTAATACAGGTTATCTAACCCTCTGTACAGCTCTGTACAGATCATTATCGTCCTCATCATCATCCTTTGACTACCACAGTGGATTGGACATTCATGGAGCTGATTTCTTCCCAAACACCACGGTCTGCCATTGCTGAACTCAAGTCCCTGGTATCAAGTCCTGAATCACTAGCAATTGCTTCAGGGTATGTTAGCTTACATAAATGCACTTTGCCCACTGGATGCCAGAGAATGTAAGATGAGATTAGGGAGCTTAAGTAATAAAGACAGCGATGGCAGCCAAATTGTCATTTACAAAGTGAATTCGAGTGACTTTATTTCATCTCATTCAATTCGTCAAATGTTGGCAAATTTTCCTTGAGTTGAATTCTAAAAGACTGTATCAAAATTCAGAGAAAGAAAGAGAAAGTTGTTGTCTTGTGTTCAGGTCCTCTACAAAGTGTGAAATTAATGTTCATTAAGTTTTGTAGAAATTTAAAGCCAACGTAAACAGTAACTTACTCCAAACCTGATTTTGCTTCTTTTCTCTTCAAAAGGGAAGAGAAAAGGGAATTAAATAGGAAGTAAGGTATAATACAAAATGGTATTGTACAATGTAAATACTGTCTGTAGGATTGATCAGAGGAACTGGGCCAAGCTGAACACTTACAGAGATTACAGTTATTGCATAGATACACCTTAATCATTACCTTGGTAAAACCGGGTCAGAGTTATAACTACAGGTCAGACTGTCGACCAAAGGGAGTTCTAACTCATTGACATGTAAGACCTTAGGAACATTCAGTGTTTCAACTGGTAGAAAACTTCTACAGAGAATCAGAGACAACATTCAATACAATTTTATTCTTTCCAGGGATCATCACATGGTAGACACTGGAAAGAAATATTTCACGTGCATGTCATCAGCAATAAACGTCTTCCTGCTAATAGTTAGCAGGAAGGAGTTTGCTACTCTTTGGCCAAATTTACCTCAGATTTTTCAAGCAGTTGTGACAAACATGAAGCTCTTTTAGTGAAGGCATCATGCCTACTATAACCTCTACCTGATGAACAAAATACGAGAGTTTAGTGTCCTTTCTCTAAAAAAAATTATTTTATTTATAACGATTTTGAGATTTTGTTACCTCTTCAAAACCAAGTTCCATCTTGTTTAGGAATAAAACTGTAACTGTAGAGAATGAAGGTAAAAGCTGTTCTGGTTCACTTGGTAATCTGAGGAAATTCTCCCTATAAACAAAAAAGTAGATTAATCAATATTTTATCATATGGTTGCATTACAAATGTGACTGTATAGGGGTAATGCAATAATAACTGGTATAATAATAATAATTTAATATTTATATTGCGCAAAATACATGTAAATATGATCAAATGTGCATTACATGAAAGTAAATTATCAACATTAATAAGTTATGCAAAATAACTAAAAATATTATATAAAAAAATAATGGATCTATAAAAATATAATATATATATAATCCTAAAAAAAACCCTAATAAAAAGCTAATCTAAAAAAAATGGGCCTTAAGTAAACCTTTAAACCTATTAAACCTATTCCATTAGTTTACATTGTAACCTACACATAAGACACTAGAAAAAGAGCTCTCAAGAGAGAGCATGTGTTTACAGTTATTGTTATGTCTGTTGTGCACTTTTGATTTTATGGGCTTGCTAAGTCATAATTCATAAGCATGAAATGTAAAATGTTTTATCAAAGAAAATGGAGCATGATTTCTTGCATTGAAGTAAAAATTTTGACATACAAGGTAACAGTTATTCATCTGTTGCAACAAGTTACTATTCACCTTTATGTCAAGAAAATAAAGACTGACTTCTTGCATGGCGAAAAATAATTTTTTGACGCAACAGGTCATACTTATTTTTCAGATGCAACAGGTCACACTTCACCTTCAGGTTATGTAGCATGCTGATGACTACCAATTAATCCCTTTTGCATGTGTTTCAGTTTATAATTTATAGAAACTGTAAACACAAAAAGTACTTGAAATCTTCATAACAAGGTAATGAATGCATGTAATGAACATCTCTATAGCAGCTGATCATGCAAAAATTATAAAAATATATGGAAGAGAAACATGACACAATATGGTTACTTACGATAAATTAAGGATCTGAAGGTGTTCAAGATTTCTTGTTATTGCTGCTACGTCCACCCAAGATGACAGAAGAGTTTTAGAAAGATCAAGTTCTGAGATATCTACACTAACATTAAGAATATCAGCATATATATATATATATATAATATATAGGAACACTGTGTTTTAATTTTTGCGTAGTAGAGTGCTCAATCAATAAAGTAGAGCGTGATATATAATGTATATAATTTTATATGTATATATAACACTTGCAAGTTAAAAAACCACTAATAAGAACAACTGTTCTGCTGTAAGGATATTAGGGGGCCAGGGTTTTCAAAAGGCTTCCACTGGAGGCTGGCCAGACAGTCAGACTGAGTACTACTTCCAAGGCTACAACCAGTTGCAAAAATACTTGCAAAACTGAACCTTCAAGGCTTAAATGGCCTGTTCAAGATCTTGTGCTTATGATTCCCCCTCCTCCCCTTCTTCAGGGGTTTCAAACATTGAAGTAGCCAGCAGGTTTGAAAAGAGTAACCAACTGTATCAACAAGGGTCCAGTAGTCCCCTTTTATGAGGGTGGGGGGAAGGAGGTCTTGTGCCTCAGAAACTTTTGAAAATTCAAAGCCCTAAAATGCAATTGTTAGTATTCTGGGGACTAAATTTTTGGACAAAAGAGCGTGTTTTTCATTCAAGAAAATATAGCTTTTGATTTATTAGTCACACAATCAATTCCTGTAAACAATGAACGAATGAAGAAAACCAAATTGTGTACTTTTGCACATAAACAAATTCTGCACAAACCTATAAAGAAATTTGTCAAAAAAATGACTGAAAGCATTATTTAAAACCAGTGGGCCTCTATGAAAACACATCATAATTACATTTTTCATTCAGATTTTATTATATATTTTTTGTTTAAACGTTATTCAAACTAGTTGCTTCCACTTTCTAGAAAAAAGTACCTGACCTCTATGAGCAAAGTAGCCGACACTTTTCGTTGGCCATCAGTGCGTATTGAAACCCCTTCTTTTTTAAAGTTACTAGCAATACAAGACCATGCTGAAAATTTGGAGGAACAACTTTGAATGCAGGGGAGGGAGGGGGTGAGTTTGATATCTCACAGAAGTGTGTCTACCAGTGATTTTATTAATTAGTAAAAAAGGTCAGTTTTTTGTTGGAGTGTCTCAACATTTTTGCAACTGGCTGTAGCAATGATCCTTGCAACCAAGCCATGCTAGTCCCCATACAAGGTATTCACAGACACCTATCACACTGTTAAAGCAGTGAAAAAATTTTTTTCTTATTGACAGAACAGGAGGAGATATGAAACATATCAAAACCCACACAGCACAAGATGACCAACAAAGATGCAACCAGCCTGCCACAAACATATTAATATAAATTATGAGCAGTGTAGTTCTGTGAATAAAGTACAACCAGACTTGGCCTCAGAAATTCGCCATGGGATCTTTGGGGGGTTAAATTTTGGTCCAGGGATTTTTTGGGGGTTTTGTTGGAAGCACTAAGGATTTTTTGGGGGGTTGGATTTTTGCTCCAGCCCTATTCAATTATCTCCATCACTTGAAATCTGGAGAACCCCCTGGGGATTTCTTGGGGCTTTTATTTTGTGCAGACCTTCATTTTGTAGTAGTGAAAAGGATACTTGGGGCAACTTTGTAAAAGTCATTTTCTTTATCTGGTCCATTTACTGTTAGGCCTCTTAAACTAACCTCTCTTAGTGTCTTGTAGTCACTGAAAATGTATAAATTATTACGGGTTTACGTAATGTTGATATCATATAAGCAGGCAGTAGGCCTTACCATTCCATGCAAGGCAAAACGAACACATACTATGGTGTATGCATCCAGCAGAAAGCAGAACGCAGAAAGCAGAAACTAGCTTCCTAACCTGTGAGCAAGATCTCAAAGGAGTTTTAGAGTCAGGACACTGTAGAAAAGGAGAGCTTGCAGTCATGTCCCAGAAATTTGAATTTCTGCATCAAAAAAGTCGATGATTGGCTGAGATGAACTTTGGAAATGACCTTATCATGAGAAACTGAAAATGATGACAGTCCATTCAACTTCACTGGCACGAAAAATTGCTCTTAACAAGAAGATCTATTTCAGCGATTTAACACTATAAATAACAAAGGTTATTCTATTTGCTTAAAGCTATAGCTTCTTTTTAGCAGATAAAAAACGGCTTGGTACAGTTTATATTTATCAGTAATATTTTAGCACTTTAAGCAACAGACAATATTAATATTATTATATTGGGTGCGAATCAGGCATGACATAATATCAATTAAGTCCTGTCCAATATCTTGAGTACCTCTGTTTTTGCTGAATTGAATGTGCTCCAACCATTTCCACAGCTTTCCATCTGTTGTTGCCACTCATAACATACATGTCCTCTTCATTAATGCTGTCACCACCTTGTCCATAGCGCTGTTTCAGGGCTTCAAAGATACTTATTCCAAAGTCCACCTTCTTCGGTCTTACAAAGGACCCACCCATTGGGTGTCTGGTAAAAATAAGCCCAAAATGCTTTTGAGACCCGGGCGTACAAGTTTTTCTTTTGATCACCCTACTGCTTGTAATAAGTTATAAATGTGATGTTGGGGTGAGCTAAAAACCTTATTAAGAGGTCAAAGTGTTGGTGAGGTCAATGTTTACTATTCACATGTGCTATTTTTGGGATATGTGGAAATGAAAGTCAGCCAGGCCTACAGCTAGTCGAAAAGATGGCTATACCCTTGTACACGCCTGATAAATATATAGTTTAATATAGCTTTACATGCTTACTTACATTACTTAATTACAAGTCAAAGTGACATAGTAAGAAATTAACAACATTACTTCATTTGCTTTTGATGCAAACTGATTGATGAAAATGATTATTGATTATTACGGAAACTCATTTACAGCAAGGAGCCCAAAAGTGTGACAGCTTTTGATTTATTCACATTCTTTCATACAGATTTAATCCAATCAGAAGCCAGCTGGAAACTGTCCTCAACTTCTGATTGGTTAATGTCTGCATGAAAGAATGTGAGTTATTTATTGAAGGAGGTCACACTTTTGGGCTCCTTGCTGTAACAGCAAAGTTGACATAATACAAAATGTAGTCTTTCAACAAAGTGCTAGAGATAAAAATGTTTCAATGTTTAAACACAACGTGACATTCATACCTGCTTTTAAAATATTTAACACCTTCATGAGTACCATCATGTTTACCTCTGCTATGGTCATCCCACTCCACACCATACCATTCACCTAACAAGAGAAAGAGTTAGGTTCTGCCATTACCATTTCTTCCATTACTGAGCTAACTGCCGACGGGTTAGCTCAGTTGGGAGAGCACTGGTCTGCCGGGCAGGAGGTCGTGGGTTCAAACTCCAGCCAGACCAACAACCAGGGTCCTTAAAAAAACTGTTGAGATCTTGCTGGCTGTGATTTGAGACCTTGTCTCAGTTTAGATGATCGCGTCATTAGGTGGTCTTAGGTGGTGACATTAAGCCGTTGACCTTGTCTTCTTCATCCTTCTTTCATTAGTCAAATCAAAGGGGATGTAAAAGAACCCACACTACTGTCAGACAAGAGTAGGGGAAGTTTCCCTGGTGGTGTGGTTTACCTTTCATGCATCATTCATATCATGAGCTATGGGCAGGTTACAGTAAACTCATAAATGGACTGACAGCGGCTGCCACTGGCGCCCTTGTATGCTGAAGTCCAAGCTTACTGTCAGAATGTTAATATATAACATAAAGGGGGCATGTCTTGTTGTCCTCTTATCCATGACATTACTTTATGATACATTACTGTTTACACCTTCACTGACAAGCAAAAACCACTCCTCCATCTAGCCTGCGAAGCGCAGACGCATTTCCTGTCGTCGCTTCTCTCCCTCCGAAAAATAGCGTCTGCGAACCCGAGCGACAAAACGATTTCCGTGACGTAAAACATTTTTAGCCAATCGCGGTTTAGCTCTTAAAATCAAGGAACTAACTCGCGAGACTTCTCGCAGGATTGTGCGCGATGGATATGTTTTCAAGTCGAAATTGAAAGGACGACGTGGCTTGTGTATAGCCGTCCTTTTTTCTCAGAACGACGTGTTTACGAAAGTTAATTTGCCAGGATTTTTGGACTGATTGATGAAATAAGTATCAAGAGGATTCATATCGAAGAAAAGATTAGAGGACATTTTTCATCTATTTGCCTACGGAGTCAAAGATTTATCAGACGTAGTTGTTTTGATCATATTCGAAACGATAACTGTCCTAATGACAGTAGACGCATCATGCCGTTTGTTGCTTCTGTTCCTTTCTGGTTCCTGGCAGGAAAGTATGCCTTGGAGAACTCTTCGATAGTTTGTCGTGTGCCGTTTTAGATATTTTTTAGTAGATATCCTTTATCTTTGAAAGGTAGGACATGTGGTAATTGATTTCCCATGCGTGGTTGCTTCTTGGTTCAGATAGAACTTTGATCAGATCGAAAGCATTTTATATTTGCTCCGGTATATTTCTTTAAATACATGTTCTTTTCAAGGTTCTCATTTCCATAGTTTTTTGTGAGATGAGTAGAAGCGTCGTAGCTGAAATGTCATTTTGACTATGATCTATTTACTGCTGTAACTATTTATTTCACGCTGGGTCTGGCCCAGGTTTATAATATTTCAGATCATTGTGTTGTGGCGATACTAGAATTATTAACGAGCGATTGTTAGAGATTTCTGAATCAGTCAAGGATGTGTCTGTGTAATTGATTCACCACCTTTTGTCAGCGCTGGTTAAATTGAAATAAATAAGTCTGAGCGCGATGTCATTAAGCTATGTTGCTTTCCTTTCGCTGTAGCGATTATTTTGTCCAGGTTTTGTTTATGTCACATACTACCGTATTTTATAAAGCGAAACCAAAAGCCCACATCACATACATAGCTTAAGAAGCAGTTGCTTCATAAAGAAGTCAGCATTCAACGTCGCAGGAAACCTTGTTATAGTCGTGAAATTCACGTTCCAAAGCGTATTTGGTAATTCTCTCCAAAATCCAAGACACTTCAGCGCACGAGGTCGCGAGGAGTCACTCGAGCTGTATTCTATCCTTTGATCTGATTGGCCTACATCAAAACAAAAGGTTTTATGTCACGGAAATCGTTTTGTCGCTCAGGTTCGCAGATGCTATTTTTCGGAGGGAGGGAAGCGACGACCGGAAATGCGTCTGCGCTTCGCAGGCTATCCTCCATCTAAATTAACCATCAAAATTGTTAGGATAGGCGCTACCAGAATGAAGACAAACGGCTAAAGTGGTTAGCGGATGGTTGATGGGACATCTCAAGGTATTCATTTAGCTTATCATTAGTGAACCCACCCAAGGGATGGCTAACAACAACTTGTGCGACTAGGAAGACAATAATTATGTTTGAAAAAAATTTCTGCCTAACTTCACCTTCCTCCAAACAGACCTTTTTGCAAAAAACCAGAACACAGCGAGGCTACAGTAAGTGAAGATTCCAAAAAGCACTTAAGTAATAGGCCTGTCATGCTTGTCACACACAAACGTTTTGCTGTTCTCTTATTTCTGCCATCCTGTTGCATAAGCTCAATCTTGTTTGAAGCCATAGACCTCTTTAGCTTTTATGTTTTATTTTCCCAATTCAGACCATATGATGTTTCAAGGGAAATTGCCTTTTGTCTTTTCATATGCACGTGCATAGTATATAGGACGACATTTGAAAGAAACAGTTTCTGTGGTACCATCACGTGGTCTGAAAATGGGTAAACAAAACATTCGCGCCTAAAAAGGCCTTCTTTCCCATTTTCTTGCCATAAAAATGCGGCTCATTCGCTGTTGTACGTCTCATGATGAGCATCACTTTATTTTTAAAGCAACAAATAGACCGAACTAATAGAATCTGAATCCCGCTGTACAGCTTTAGATTGAATTTTCCGTTTCAATTCTCGGCTTGCCCAACCTTCGCAATGAAGAAGTCATCGATAGTTTTCGTTCAACACCGCTCAAGCTGCTTAACGTCAGATGGAATATTTTTAACATACGTACCTGACGTTGGAGGAACAAGCCCTACATATTTAATTTCTCCTCTGAAACCTTCACATAGTATCCTCTTCCCTACAATTTCGTCCGCCATTTTGTTTAGTACTTCGAATCGTTGTGATACCGGCGGCATCAGTTTTGGAAAAGGTAATCCAGCCTTTGATTGGTCGATGAAAGGTAGCCTATAGAAATATTAGTTATAATGCGAAATTATTTTGTAGTTTTGGAGTCTTGGCGGCCCGATTAGACACCGGATAATGTACTTCATTCCACAGGAGTATGCAGATCAAAGAATCTTTTAACGTTTTGGAGCTACTTTGGCTGCGTTCAGCTTCAATGGGAACTCCATGAACTGAAAGACACAAAAGGCTTACTCCTACAAATAATTGGAAACTTTTACATGGCTGAATCTGCCAGTGGGCAAGATGAAGCGAATCCTGTGTAACGATAGGCTACCCGAGCGGGCCCATCTTGCCCGGTCGGGATTTCCCACGGGTGTCCCGCAAGAAAAAGCCATCTTTTCGACCCTGTAATGGCTGCGGCCGCACTTGAGGACTTAACCGAGTTTTTTTCCAATTAACTAATTAATGTTTAAACTTTATTAAGAGAGGGCAGACTCGTCAAACAGAAGGGGGCGACCCCCCTCCCACCGACACCCCCTCCCATACTAACCCCCAATAGCCGAAACCAACTGTTGATTCTAAAACATATGGGCACTTGGACTGGATTTGGAGAAGAAGATTTGGGCCCAGTTGTTCGAAGGCCGATTAGCGCTTAACCTTCGGGTTTCTCTTTCTTGTGTTCAAAAGCATTTTCTCGGATAATTTTCTCTGTTATATTTAGAGCTTTCAATCATCAACTTGTGGACAAAAAGAATTAAAACTGAAATGCTTTTTAAGCTTTCAAATTTGAATTCAAATCTCGCACTAACCCTGGGTTATCTTAACCCGGCTTTGAAAAACTCGGCCCCAGACGATAACTTTCACCAGTTATTATTGAGAGATTCAGAAAACCATTTAAATCGGCTGTTCTCATATATGATTTTTCATATGATATTTCATATATTCATGACTACATCATCATCCTTTCACGGGTTTATGACGAACCAATTCAATGACCTGCTCCCAGTTGGCTTGTTAGCTTAATTGGTAGAGCGCTGTACCGGTATCACAGAGGTTAAGGGTTCGAATCCCTTACAAGCTTGAATTTTTTCAGGCTTTCTTTTCGCAACTGCAAAAAGCTGCGTCTATAACTGCGACGATCATCTTTCAGTAAAATTAAAGTTGACTCGTTGAAAAAACTGCGACTGCAGTTTACCTGGCCCCCGTTGTTCAAAAGAAGGATACCGTTATCCACCGGATAAATTTCTATCTACTGGATATCGCAATTGGTTTCCCTAATACTGACGTATCCACTGGACAGTGATTTATCTGGCCCCAGTTGTTCAAAAGTTGGATAGCGCTATCCAACGGATAAATCATTATCCCACGGATAAAAGTAGGGAAACTAATTGCGCTATCCAGTGGATAGTGATTTATCTGATGGATAGCGTTATCTACCTTTTGAACAACTGGGGCAGTGTTATCCAGTTTTTGAACAACCCGGGGCCAGAACCTTAAACTGAACTGGCACCCAAATCACGCTTCTCCAACTGGAAGGTACAGAAAAGTGGACAAAAATTGAGAAAATAATACAAGTAGAGATGCAGCATAGAAACAGAAATGACTGATACAACTATCAGCTTGTTGTACCTTTGATGAGTTCCTCGTATCTCGGGTGTAACTCTACAAATGCAGGATTCAGTGAACTGGCTTGCCCATCAGCAGTATTTCCACCAGCATTAATCCAACACTTGGCATACTTCTTTAGGTAAGCCCGCTCTGCAGTCTCTCTCTCTTTTAAACTGACCTGAGAAAAAGGAATAATACAAGTAAGTAGCCTAAAAATCGTTCCACGTAAGGGAAACCGGATTTGGAATACAGGATCCTTATATTTAACATTTTGCTTGTGGAATCCGGAATCCTGGGCTTTAAAATCCGGAATACAGCTCAAGGGATCCGAAATCCCACGAACAATTGGAATCTGGAATCCAAGTTCCACTGACAAAGACTAGCATTTAGTACCTGGATTCTGGAATCCACAGCGTGGAATCCAGAATCCAAAACTGCCTTGGGTTCCCTTACATGGAGCAATAAGAAAACAACCACCACTTTCCTGATGCCACCACTTGTTTCCTCATGAAATGACATCTGAGGAACAAGCGAAGAAATTCCATACTGATGACGTGTCACAACCCAGATCTGGGTACAGTGTAGTGCTCAGCACCTGAACAAAAAAATACAACATCTTCAAAACTCACCAAACTGCCATTGAGAGAGGTTAATGACGGCACGCGAGCAAGCAGCTCTTGACGACTGTCAAAAGTAGTCTCCCCTGCAAAATCAAAATTACTTCATTATACGCACACAGTTGAAACAATAGGGGCGTTTATACGAGGAAAAATAAGACGCGTCTTAAATAAGACGCGAACTGTACCATTTATAAGAGCATGTCTTATCTAATAAGACGCGTCTTAGCTAAGCCGTGTCTTGTTTTAGACGCGTCTTATGTAAGAGGCGTCTTATTTTCCCTCGTATAAATGGCCCTAATAACACATTTTGTTAGCAACTCCAATAAATAACAAAGTTTGATAACACATAGAAAGGGCAATTATTTTCTTGGCTTTTACCTTGGAAAAGAAGATTTCCCTTGAAGCGCAACTCACTTAATTTTGGTAGATGGTTTAACTCATTAATGCTCTGAATCTAGAACGAATTTGAAAACAAGGTTAAATACACTGTATGACGGATCATTATACATTTTTGGGAAACTACCCCCTACCCCTCCCCTAAGCCAACATTTTGCACTAGGTGAGAAGCATTAATTTTGGCTTAGGGGAGGGGTAGGTGGGCAGTTTCCTAGAAACGTATAATGATCCATGACTACAGTTACCTCCAACTAATTGCCAACCCTCTGATCCCCAATATCCACATACAAATTCTCCAAACTGGTGTCTATACATTTCCATAAAGAAATTTGATAAAAGATTAAAGCATTTTCTCCCAGCTGATTACTTTATCAATTCTCACAACCTCTTCATTTGATTGTGCATGGATATTGTTTAGGAGAAAATTGATTGTCATTCTTAAGACTTCAGAGACTGTTAATTGCAAGTAGATAAAGTGCTACACTAACTTTTAACTGTGGATGTTATTCTATGGTGTTACCATTCAAATGAATCCCCCATAGCAGACTTTTTTTTTATAGTACCATTAATTTCTTAAGGTTTTACAAAAAAGAATTTTGAAATTATTTGGGAGAAGTTTTGCTTTGGTTTCTTTTTGATGGATAGAAATACCACTCATGTTTTACAAAGTCTCATGAGTTCATCTGACTTAAGAGTCAGATTTTTTCTACAAGTCAAATGCTCACAACACAACAAATAAAATTTTAACAGCTTTCCACATGTTATTCACTGAGCCTAATGTTACCATCTTCAATAAATTAATTCCACACAGTAAGCATTCAACACTGCTAATAATAGCAGTGTGCAGGCCTTGATCATTTTGTAATGGATAGCTTTGCTTATCATGAGCACCCCAGCAGTTTTTTGAGAGGTTGTAAGTAACTTCAATTGACAAGACAGTTATTTCATCTCTTTTATGACTGTAAATAGAAATCTGCTTTTCAACAGCCCTTATGCATGTTTATGTTAGACAAGATAATTTCACCACCAATCCTCTTTTTTTTTTTAATGGAATTCTTTGCTTTTGTTCTTGTTGGTCACCCTGAATTTTTGTCATTCATGCCTTTGGGATTCAAAGTATTTTTGTAAGAGCCACCCTTACATACAGTGGAACTTCGATATAACAAGCCTCTATAATTATAGCAAAGTCCTCAGTATAACAAACGATTTTCTTCACCCCAGAAATAGTAAAATATATGGAAAAGAACCTGGACATAGCCAAACCTTGTAAAAGTGAACAAATAATTTTGCCAGTCTTTTGACCCTTTGTTATATAGAGCTTCCACTGTATTTCCAA